TCGGAGTTCGTGGTGCGGCGGGAGGTGTCTAGACACTGCAGCAGCACGAGCTTCAGCGTCAACGGAAAGTGCTGCAGCAAAACTCAAGTTTTCAATTTGCTGCGCAGCAAAGGCCTCGACCTCCGCAACAAACGCTTCCTGATTCTCCAGGGAGAAGTCGAGCAGATTGCGCTCATGAGGCCCAAGGCCACGGTCAGCAGCAGCAGCAGCAGCAGCAGCAGCAGCAGCAGCAGCAGCAGAAGCAGCGGCAGCAGCAGTGGCAGCAGCAGTGGCAGCGGCGGCGGCAGCAGCAGCGGCGCTGCTGCTGCTGCTGTGACTGCAGCGCTGCAGCTGCCGCTGCTGCAGCTGCTGCTGTAGCAGCAGCAGCAAAGCCGCACCTGCTGCCGCTGCTGCTGCTGCTGCTGCTGCTGCTAATGCTAAAGCTGAATGCGTCTTTAGTGTTATTCTTTTTTTTGTTTGTGGCATTAGATCTTCTGTTAATGGCATTAATAGCATTTTGCTTTGTCTTGCATGCATTAAATGATTTCTAAATTGGATTGATTTGATTTAATTTAATTTAATTTAATTTAGTTTCATTAAATTCAAATTAAATCAAATTAAGTTATTTAATTTAATTTAAATTGGATTAAATTAATTTTATTTTTATGTAAATTGATTTGAATTTTATTTAATTTAATCCAAGTTGAATTAAATTGGAAACAAATCAAAAATAGAATAAAATACAATAAAATGAAATGAAACAAAATAAAACAAAACAAAGTGCAACGAACGAATCAAATTAAAATAAATTAAATCAAAATAAATAAATTAAAGTAAATAAATAAACCCCACATTTAGTTTTATTTATTTATTTATTTATTTATTTATTTATTTATTTGGGGTGTACGTACAGCGCGCTGAAGAAACAGGCCTTTTGGAGTACTTGGAAGAATTAATAGAAACAAATAAATACAAAGAAGCAATTGCTGCAGCAGAACAGTATTTCGACACCACTTGCCAGCTCGTAAACCCTAAACCCTAAACGCTAAACCCTAATTTCCACTCCCACACGCCCTCCTGCTGCTGCTGCTGCTGCTGCTGGCGGTGTGGTGCTGCTTCGGCGCTTGCTGCTGCCGCTGCTGCCACTTGTGTGCTGCTGCTGCTGGCACTGTTTTGGGCGCTGCTGCCGTTGCACGTTCTGCTGCTGCTGCTGCTGCTGCCGGAAGTCTCCTGGCTCCTCCTGCTGCTGCATTTGCTGCTGCTGCTGCTGCATTTGTTGCTGCTGTTGCCGACAGCATTGCGGCTCCTCCTGCCGCTGCGTTCCTGCTGCTGATGCTGCCGATATTGTTGCGGCTGCTGCTGCTACTGCTGCTGCCCTTCCCGCCGCTGCTGCTGCTGCTGCTGCTGCTGCAGTACCAAGAGAAGGCGAACCGCATGCGCTGCACTGCTGCTGAGCTGAAGCGGCTGCAGGGCCCTAGAGATGAGGCGCTGCTGTCTCTTAAGAGCAACAGACAAGCAGCAGCAGCAAAGTTGCTGCTTGCTGCCATTTACAGGAGGGTCCGTCTGCTGCTGCTGCTGTTGCTGCTGTTGGTAGTGTGCGCGTTGCTGCGCTTGCTGCTGCGCTTTTCTTGCTGCTGCTGCTGCTGCTAGTGTTCACGCTGCTGTCCTCGTGCTGCTGCAGCTAGTGTGCGTTCTCCTGCTCGTGCTGCTGCTGCTTGGCTCGCTTTGCTGCTGCTTCTGCTTTACGCACGTTGCTGCTGCTGCTCGTTTGTTTTCGTGCTTCTGTGCTGCTGCTGCTGCTGCTGTACATGTATGCTTCTGCTGCTACTGCTGCTGCTGCTGCTGCTGCAGAAACGGCGCAGAGAAGCAGAGCAGACACGGGAAAAGCTGCAGGTTGCGGAAGAGCAGCAAAAAGAAAACGAAGCCAAAGTAGAGGGCCTGAAAGCCTCCCTCCAAAAGGTTCTAAACCCTAAACCCTAAACCGTAAACCCTTGTTGCTGAACACGGCAACGACGCATGAAGCAGCTCTGCACAGTCAGAGGCTTGAGGCTATGCAGGGCGTGGACTTAGCAGGAATTAGGGTTTCAAGTCCAGGGTTTAGGGTTTAGGGTTTAGGGTTTAGGGTTTGCGCTGCGTTGGGGCTGCAGGTCGAAGAGGAGGCCGCAGGGCAGGCAACAAAGCTGAAACAGGGAGACAAAGAGTGTTCTAAAGTAGGTGCATTATATTGCAAACCCTAATTGGTGGTTTCCAAACCCTAAACCCTAATTTAGGGTTTGCGCATGGGCGCAGGCGGAGAGGGAGCTGCAGCAGCTGGTGGTGCGGGATGAAGAGCTGCGGGCGGAAGTGGGAGGCGAGCTGTCTCGGCTGCAGGAGAAGCAGCAGCAGCAGCAGCAGCTGGAGCAGCGGCAGCAGCAGCAGCAGCAGCTGCTGCAGCAGCTCGAAGCTGCGCTCCAGCAAAGAGACGCAGATAAGGAAAGCAAAAGCCTCAAAGCAGCAGAAGCAGAAGTGGAGGCAGCAAAAGAAGCTGTTGAGCAATACCAAGAATCCATCAAGGGTGGGCTGCGAGGGTTTAGGGTTTAGGGTTTAGGGTTTAAGGTTTTATGTATAGGGTTTGGGAGCGCTGAAATCGTTGAAGGGCTCCTAAGCACATCGTACGAAATCCCTTGAGGGTTTAGGGTTTAGGGTTTAGGGTTTGATAAATATAAAGCTAGGCACTGGACTGCGTGGTGCTGCAGACGAGGTGCAGCAGCTTTCTGCTGCGCATGTAGCAGCAGAGAAGGAGCTGCTGCAGCAGCAGCAGCAGCTGGACCGGCAGCTGACAGCAGCAGCAAAAGTGACTTCAGCTTTGGAGCTGCTGCAGCGGAAAGAAAAGCAAATTAGAGAAAGGCAGCAGCAAGCACAGGAGTTGCTGCGGCGGTGTGGCGAAACAGAAACAGCAAATGCTGCTGCGCTGCAGCAGCAGCAGCAGCAGCTCGCAGCAGCAGCAGCAGACCTGAAAACGGTGCAGCAGCAAAAGAGAGACGCAGACAAAGAAATCAGCAGCCTCGAGCAGCAGCTGCTTCAAGCCAAGGGACAGATCAGCGGGGTCCGCTCTCCCAAATTCAGGGTTTAGGGTTTAGGGTTTAGGGTTTGGGGTTTAGGGTTTAGGGTTTAGGAGGCAGCAGGATGGACTATGCGCCGGATTCCCCTCCTTTCCCCTCCCTCCCCCCTCACGAATCCCCTTTCAATAAAAACAATTTAATTGATTAATTAATTAAATTAATTAATTAATTTGTTAATTAATTTATTTATTTATTTTTTTTATTATTTGCAGATTGAGCAGCAGCGCAACGAGCGGCGCTGCAAAGACCGGCTGCAGTCTTTGCTGCAGCAGCAAAAGAAAGAGGGAAAGCTGCAGGGTTTAATAGGGAGGCTGGGGCAGCTGGGGATCATAGACAAAAAGGCACTAAACCCTAAACCCTAAACCCTAGACCCTAAACCCTAGCTGGGGGCCCGGGCGGCCCCGGGGGTCTTGCGCGCGCGTGTGCGGCGAGCGCCCGCAGCCGCAGGGCCGAGGGCTTAGGGTTTAGGGTTTAGAGTTTAGGGTTTAGGGTTTAGGGTTTAGGGTTTGCGCGCAGTATGAACGGGCGTTTCTTGCTGCTTCCGGAGGGTTTAGCAGCTACTATGTTGTTGAAAAACCCTCAGACGCTCATGAGCTTTTCGAGCTGCTGAGGGTTTACGAACTTGGCCGCTGCAACGTGCTCGCGCTGCAGGTCTTGGTACGCCCCCAAACCCCAAACCCTAAACCCTAAACCCTAAACCCTAGGCCGGCGCTCCTGTTGCTGCGCCTGCCGAGCAAATTGAAAAAATAAATCACTGTTGGAGTGGAGCTGCAGAAAGCAGCCAAGGAGTGCTCGTCTTGCTGCACAGAAGCCCTAAACCCTAGAGAAGGACCTGTAAACCCTAAACCCTAAACCCTGAAGCCAGAAATGCAAACCCTCGCAGCTGTGCATAAGAAGCTGCGCGAGCACTGCCGCGCGGCGAGGCTGTGCCTGCCCACTGCAGTCCAGAATTTAGGGTTTGGGGTTTAGGGTTTAGGGTTTAGGGTTTGGGGTTTGGGCGAAGGAAAAGGAGCTGTCTGGACGGCTGGCGGAGGCGGAGGCGGAGGCGGCGAGGTGTACAGACACCTCAGCGCCGCGACTCCTCGATTTGCTGCACTTCATTTCTCCCAGATTTAAAATTGCTTTTTTTAAATCTGTTGGAAACACTCGCGTTGCTGCAGACATGGAGCACGCCACCCACCTCGCCTACGCCCTCAGGCAACGCGGTAGGGTTTAGGGTTTAGGGTTTAGGGTTTAGGGTTTGGGGCTTGGGGTTTGGGGCTTGGGGTTTGGGGTTTGGGGTTTAAGGGGGATAAGGCGGCGGCAGCTTTGGCTGCGGGGTAGTGGGGAAGGCGCGGGGGTGGGCTCGAGGGTTTAGGGTTTAGGGTTTAGGGTTTGGGGCCGGGGCTGCTGCGAGCTGGAAAGGAGGGTTCAGGGTTTAGGGTTTAGGGTTTAGGGTTTGCTGCGCTTCAGTGGTGACTCTGGAAGGAGGTTTAATAGAGCTAGACGGCCGCATGGTGGGCGGGGGTTTAGGGTTTGGGGGATGCAGCATAAGGACTGACACGCAGCGAGCTTCTGCTGCTGCTGCTGCTGCTGCTCCATTTGAGACGGAGCAGCAGCAGCAGCAGGAGCTGCAGCAGCTGCAGCAAACCATCAAACAGCTTCAAGGCGCAATCAGCGAACACAAGCGCAGAAGAGTACGCAAACATGGAGTACACTTTTCATATTGGGCTCAGGGCTTAGGGTTTAGGGTTTAGGGTTTAGGATTTAGAGTTGAGAGTTTCGAATTTGGGGTTTAGGGTTTCAAACTGAGGTTTGGCGGTAGCTAGAACAAAGCAAGACTTTACGTCTTCCGAAATTGCACACAGTATTTGATTAGCCTTTAGGGTTTAGGGTTTGGGGTTTAGGGTTTAGGGTTTAGGGTTTGTGCTTGCAGGAGGAGCTGGCTACGAATGAAAAGCACCTTGAGAGGCAGCGCGCTGAGGCCGAGTCGGCCATTGAGCTGCTGCAGCAAGACATAGCAGCAGCTCAGCTTCAGGTGAGGGTTTAGGGTTTAGGGTTTAGGGTTCAGGGTTTAGGGTTTGGGGTTTGGCGTTTGGGGTGGTCGGGGTGCACCCCACCGCCACACAGTGCGGCGAGGAGTGGCTACTGGGGTTTAATTAATAATAATTTAAATTTATTTATTTATTTATTTATTTATTTATTTTTAGCTTTTAATTTGCTGAAAGAAAAGGAAGGAAAGCAGCAGCAAGAAGTCGCAGCAAAGCGCGCAGAGCTGCAGCGGATAATTAAAGACAAGGGCCGGCTGCAGCGGGAGATTCAAACTCACCAGGCAACAAACCCTAAACCCTAAACCCTAAACCCTAAACCCTAGGCGCTGGGCAGTGGGAGCAGCTGGGGGGTGGCGGAAGAGCGGGCTTGCAGGCCCAAGCCCTCGAGGCCGGGCTGCACAAACCCTAAACCCTAAACCTTAAACCTTAAACCTTAAACCCTAAACCCTTTTTTGTGAACAGGAAAGAACAGAGGAGCTGCAGGAGTCTCTTGCTGCTCTCGAGGAAGAAGCAAGAAAAGTTGTTGAGAAACTAGAGGAGGCAAAGACGCAGCGAGAGCTGCTGCTGCAGCAGCAGCAGCAGCTGCAGAAGCAGCAGCAGCAACTTGAGGAGACACTTAAGGAAACGGCTCTTGCGTCTGTAAGGCACACAAGCAAGGGTTTAGGGTTTAGGGTTTAGGGTTTTGGGCTCGGTGGGACTGGAAAGCAGATTTCGGGCTTGCACAGGCCTCAGCTCTACTCCGAAGTGGAAGCAGCAGCAGCAGCAGCTGCTGCTGCTGCTGCTGCAGTAGTAGCAGCAAGAACTTTTGCTGCTGCTACTTCGTGTCCATATGTCTGGCTCTTAGCAACGGATGGTGCCTCTTGCTGCTGCTGCTGCTGCTGTTCGTGCTTGCTGCTGCTGCTGCTGTTGCTGCTGTTCGTGCTTGCTGCTGCAGCTAGAAACACAGCACCTGTACGACTCCTTGAAGCAGCAGCTGCAGCAGCAGCAGCAGCAGGAGCAGCAGCAGCAGCGGCAGTTTTCTGCTGCCTTGGAGTGCCTCATGGAAATCGACGCCACCATACAGGCAGAAGAGGAGGAGCCCAGCGAGTCCGAGCAGCAGCAGCAGCAGCAGCAGCAGGAGCCGGTTTTGGCCCTGACAGATGGCTCTGTCGACGCCGAATCCGAGCAGCAGGAGAAGCCGCAAGAGCAGCAGCAGCAGCAGCAGCAGCAGCAGGCTTATGGGGAGTTGGGGCCAGGTGCTGCTGCTTTGCTGCAGCGGCTGCAGATTGACTTGAGCGAAAGCAGTTTGCGTCAGTACAGCTCTGAGGCGATAAGCAAGCTGCAGCAGGAGCAGCAGCAGCAGGAGCAGCAGCAGCAGCAGCAGGGGTGGCTGCATGCGCTGCAGCTGTTCTCGCAGAAGCGCCAGGAG